TTCTACTAAGTATGTAGCGGATACCTTTAATCGAACGAAAATTTCTCATTCCGCACGGAAATAGGCAAAGAGAAAGAGGAGAACATGCCAAAATGACCTTAGCCCTTTGCACCTCACCCAAGGTTTATTGCAAAAGAAGCTCAAAGAGAATTTGATTGTTAGCAAGGTAGCATTATCGAGCATATATTACGAGTAACGATGAGCCTTTGTCAGTATTCGTGAAAAAGCAATCATGGGAAAGAAGTTTAGAAAAAATTGCGTCGCAGAGAAAGTGAAAGAATCAATCTAATAAACCCTAACATCAGCCGAAGAAGTACGAACTGGTGTACCAAATCGACTGCACTTTCTCCGCGTAACGCCAGTATGTCTGAAATTGCTGGTCGCGTTCGCGAAGAAAACTTGGAGATCATACTCGAAACTGTCTCCCCTTGACCCTATTGCTTTACTATGCAAGAAAATAAAGCGATCCTTGTTACAAATATGCCCTTCATACTACAAAAAAGCGCTGTCATCAGACATGTGAGCTTATTCTAAAAATCCGTCCAAAATGCGGTGGTGATTCGACAAAATGGAAAACGAAAACAAATGTAAAGGAAAAAAGATGTGAGCGATAGGGGAATGAAGGCATTGATATCTATAAAGATATTAAGAATATATTGGCTAATTCTATTTTTAACATCAGAGCAGAGCTTGCAGTGACTGTAATACACTAGAATAGCATTCTCTCACCAGGAAGTCAGCTCATACGCTATCCTTTAACGGGTGGTAGACGACGAACAAATGTGATATGATTGATTACTTGTCGGGGAAGGGACTGCGTTTTTTGACCGCATTACGTGCTAAACTATCGGCTGGCTTGCAATTGGTGGAAATGAAATTGTCACAGTTCTTTCATTTGCTATGATTTCTCGATGCTATCAGAGTTGCAATGAACCGCAGCCGTTCCATAAAAGAATCAGAGAAGCGAAAGCGTGAAACAATTGCGCAGTAGCTTAGCCAATTGAGAGTGACCTTCAAAACAAAAAAGGAAATTCTAACAAAAAAATTTCATTCTGGCAACTAGGAAAGCAAGGACAAGGTCCGAGGGTCTCGATGAAGATCATTTTGATACAACGAACATCGTTCGTATATTTTGAAAACTGATGTCATCACCAAAACGAGAGTGGGTCAAAATACGAAGAGGCATCTTACGCATATAAAACGCACTCTGCTCACATCGGCATGAACCTCGAAGCTGTCCTCCGAAAGATCATGAAACCCCACAGCTGTTCATGATATACGAGGCTTCAATTTCTCACTGACGTGAAAATCCGGCCATCGTAGGGTGACCACAGATTATCAGATGTAGTCCACGTCAACACCTTGCTCTATATTACACTCGGCTTCAGTGGTGTTCAAAGAGCTTACAAGTGAACAAAACACTCACCGGAAAAAATCCAATACATGAGGAAAACTACAGCCGCCGCAAGAGCGACAAGCCGAACTACACGTGAAGAGCGCATCATTCCTCGTGACGAGGGAATAAGCGAACTGGACTGCTTCTTCACATCACATTCAACTACCTAAAAACGAATAATTTATTTCTCACACACCAAAACTCATAATATTATGAATACGCCCATTATTCGCAAGCGACTAAACACTCCACGCATTGAATATTGCCTCATATTCATTGAAAAGACGATCAATCTATTCCCAAAAATCTTTAAGTGCTGCACAATCTCGACACCTTCAAAAATGACAAAACTGACAATCGTTTTTGTTCATAAAGTTTTCAATGATGCTCCTCACTAGGTACCACCGCGCGTCAATTACTATTGACTATCTTACGCAGATTCTGATTTGAACAGGGCTTTTGGAGCGTCACAAAACTTGTTGCTCGATTGTAGAACACTGTCGCTGAGACTTTCTCGCAAAGTAAGGCATAGAAGTAAGTTGTCGCATATTAGCTAAAGCTTTTCAGGAAAACGAAAGTGTGAGATGAAGAAACAAAAATATCACTAGATAACTCTTCATAACCCCCACTGGACAAGTTGCGAATTAGCCACATCAACTTGGGGTCACTTAATCCCTGCCTCAACAACTGAATAGTGGAATACCCAACAGGTTGATCTTTTGACAATACAGTGAGTTGTAAATCGGACAATGGAGAAAAGCAAAGCTGTCATATGCGTACCTTCCGCATGATGGTAGCGGTCATTTTGGCTGAGAACAACTACCCCGGTTGCACCATGCAAGGTAATCTATAACATAAGATTTCGATCACAACATAACTGCGACAGCTTGTCTAGGTCTTACACATCTTCCCAGGAACTTGAAATATCCTTTGACAGATATATCTTGATGGCTGAGCAGTACAAGCTCCCCCAATCGACGTAAAAAGACGAAAAAACACGAGTCAGCCTTAGCAAAGCGGGGACATATAGCGTGACAGCTTGGTGCACAAACCATATTGATTCCACATCTGAGCATCTCAACCCGGAGCTTCCCTTTCGCCCGTGACCAAAACCAGACTACTGAAGGCTACATATACGACCACTGAATCACGCGCTCACTCTCACCAATGAATGGGTGAAACATTACGCTCCTATTAAAGTTGGTCAACCCCATCTGGGGGTTCGTCAAGTATTCCACCCCCATTTAGAATCGTCATTTAAGCGGGCCTGAGCGCGATGCTAGCCAATGTGAATACAAATCAGCTCTCAACTTTTCAAAAAGTCTGCTATCAGTTTACTGACCAAAAATTCATGGAAGGTTGGTTAGATTGTGCAGAATTCAAGCCGAGACGCCCAGACCGTGCGTGTGAAAACCGCGCCAACTCACATTGTAACGTATTCGTTTTTCATTTTAGAAGATTGAAAAAACTGGACAACATTTATGGTTGAAGTCTAGCTTCTTCCAAAAATATACAAAGCTGCGCCGAACAGTCTTGGCAAAATTTTTCACAAAATATGGCAAATTTTTATTGGAGATCAAAAATCGCAAGGACAGCAGTTCTCTCGGAACAACTAAAAAAAAACGATGAAGATCAATGCAATGAAAGGACATATCCTAACAAATCGAGCAATAGGTAGAAGTGAAAGAGATGATCACCACATGAGATCAACTTTAGAGTGAACAAATCAATATCAATATCGGGCCAACGGTGCTAACTTAGTTGGGGGGGGGGCCACGCGGCGGCGCGGCAGTCTGCTCGCCTGGCATGTTCGGAAATCCGTGGGCCAGGGGGAGTGTAGGCAGTCTAGGGGGGTGGGGGTGAGGGCAGTCACTTGACATGCGTGAAAAGCTGGAATGTTCGAGTTTACACTGTCTCGCTCGAGAGAGCCCAGGTGAGCAGACTGCCGCGCCGCCGCGTGCCCCCCCCCAACTAAGTTAGCACCGGACTTCACAGCCACCTCTTGAGCAAGTATATCGCCTATGCTATACGAAGGAAAGGCCGCGTTACTACTCGTAACCCTGTCAATATAGATCCTAAGTTGCCTTCAAACTCTCTAAGTTTCACTTTGACTCACTTTTGAACTGTGAAATAATCCTGACGACAAAAAGGTAGAATAAACATGCACATTTCATGCGCGGACTAGAAATCTAGACCTGGTTAATTCAATGAAAAAGAAAGTATACTTTCAGTGCAAGTAAGAATAACAAACAAAAATCAAAAGGAAAAAATGTCAAGCGTAATGGAAAGCGCCATGTCAATACAGGTGAGACAACATTGGCTATCCCATTAGCGCATACAATAATTATTTGCTGACAAGCGCCAAGTAAGGAAAATTGAAATCAGTCACGATCATACAGATGATGCGTAAAACAAAATCAACTCTTGAACCTGAGGAGCAGCTTGTAAGCACCCAGGTGAACGGCCAGAAAACAAGCATGTCACCATTCGATTTCATCGCCAGAATCTGTTCCCTTGTCTAAGACGACTTCTTCCATTTCCAAGATTCAGGAGGCAAAATCTCTCACTGGGCTTCAAAGCCTGAAATACTGTCAGCTACTGGCTCGATCCACTTCCTTACAGTTGAAACAAGCAACAGCACACAAACGAAAATTTCGAGATAATACTACTACAAAATGTGATAAAATCTTACTGGGACCGGCTGTTGCCTTTCCTCTTGAGGTTAACAGGCTAGCACTGCCAAAGATATTTTGCCATGGCATCAACGATCAGTTTATTGACGGTTGAAACTGTCTGTCACAGGAACCTCCTTCTTTCACCGTTTCGACCCTGTCCAAAACAATCCAGCATTCAACTACAATGACTTATAACTATAATTGCGCTGCAAGAGAAAAAAACTGCACAGATCACACCACCGTTACATAAAGAGCGGTCTATAAATAGAAACACTTCCGTTTCCATATGACAGAGCAGCTCTACGAAAATGGGGAAATGTGATAGAAAAATTAAAATAGAGGTGGGTCGTGCAATCAATTCCAGAGAGACACTCGAACTTTCTTTTCAGATAAGCCAAATAACACTCTGAATGGCGCTATCGCGATATATGCAGGGGCATCCTCCAGAACTAAACCTAGCCGAGCAGAGCTCCTTGAAAATGAAAATCTAAACGCACTGTCTCCGACCCTCCTAAAGGCGTATCCCATCCTTTTTTCAACAAGAAATTCAGCGGCTTTAACGCATAACCCGGATCTAAATGCCCTGGCCACTAAAATACCCGTACATTTGCGATCTTTCGCTTATTATCTAACTGATCGCAATTTGATATCATGCACGACTATCGCTGTTGTAAGTGTGTAACTGTTGTTTTTGTCCGCTTGGCTTCTTTTGCCCCCCCCCCCCCCCCCCCCCCCCCCCCCCCCCCCCCCCCCCCCCCCCCCCCCCCCCCCCCCCCCCCCCCCCCCCCCCCCCCCCCCCCCCCCCCCCCCCCCCCCCCCCCCCCCCCCCCCCCCCCCCCCCCCCCCCCCCCCCCCCCCCCCCCCCCCCCCCCCCCCCCCCCCCCCCCCCCCCCCCCCCCCCCCCCCCCCCTCGTCCCCCCGCCCACCACGCGGGAGCTCTTCTGGGTGTGCTTTCTTTGCATAGGCACTTCTTCATTTGTCAGCTCCTGAGTAAGCTGGGTCTCTTGGGTGGGTTTTACGGTTTTCTGCACCGATGAACTCGGTGTTATTGAGACATCCTCTCGTTGCCCGCTATAAACACCAGCTTTCGGACCAACCACCGGCTCCGTGATTTCTATCGCCTTCTTGCTTTCTTCTTCTTTCAACATGGGTTTCTTGGGCGAGCTATATCTATCCACGTTTTGCTTGAGAGACCGACAAAAATCGTCGTAGCCCTCACTCTGAAAATCAAACACTTCAAGCATATTTCTTCAAAAATTTGCGAGACAATAGCTTTATACTTACGACTAGAAAGTCTGGAGATCCGAGGACCCGGCCGTGTGCAGATCGAGCAGCTGCAACGCAATCGATTGTAGTGTCCAGCGTCTGAAATGAGAGGGCAGCTACATTTCGACTAGAATAATTAGGATGGCGGGACACTTCCGTCTTTTGTACTCCCCGTTTCCAAGGAGCTTGTTGACAGCACATATAAAAGATGTAGGATTGTTCACACGCGAACACTGGGAGCATCAAACGAGCAAAAGCTCATTATACTACCTTAGCCAGATCTTCTAGCGTGCTGAATCGTTTCTTTATATTCCGCAGATCGGAGGAGCCCACAGAACTCGAGGACGCAGAGGTTTCTTCACTACTATCCGTGTAGCGCAAAAATTGATGTCTTGGTCTGGAAAATTAACAGTTCAGATGAAAGTAGGAACAAAGCAACTCCAGCAGTACCTTAATTCCTTCGATCCGCCAGCAGTTAATGTACCACGCATCCTAACTATAGAATCACTGGATATCTCTTTGCGAGTGTCACGTAGCAGCTGCCGTAGATAGTCGCGCTCAGACGATATTGAGGCGATCTTGTCACTCTGTATGATGGTGCTTTGATGAGCGCTTAAGGATTATAAAAGCCGGTTTAAAAGTCAAAAGATGCTCACCATGACTCTAATTATATTCTTCAGCTCGTTTATTTTCACCAAAAAGGCCTCCTCTCTTGATGCATTCACTACGGGCGTAGAGGAACTCTTCGCTTTCGACTCGCGAACAACGGATTTGAGTTCTTCGAGTTCCTCCTTCAAGTAGGCATTCTCATCCCGCAGACGATCTGCCTCGTAAGAACACCGTGACAAACGATGCCTCTCCTCCACTTCTTTGCGAAGTCTTTCGCTCATAATTTTTAGTTCGTCCTAGGAAATAGGCCATATGAACGACATTCACAAAACAAAAATATCATTGTAAGCTTGAGTCACTTGAAAAGATGCAAATGGCTTAATAAAACTGACGCAAATATTTTACCTCTAAACTCGTCATTCTTGACAACTGCGAGCGCATTTGATAGATTTCGGCACTGCTTTCGCTGAGACTTCTCTTCAGAGCAGCATTGACTTTTTCCAGCTCTTCTGATTTTTCCTTCATTCCTTTCTGTTCCGCCTCAAACTCCTGTCTAAAAGTTGGTTGAAGGAAAAACTGCAATTGAGAACTAACAGAAAAGCTCTCAAAAGACTACACACTGACATAGTATTACACTTACCGATAGTATGATCTCAACTCTTCCTGCTTGCCGCTCAGTTTTGCCCATTCTTGGTTGAGAAGCTCGACATCAGATGTGAACTTTCTGCAGAAACAAAATACAACAGCGTAATAAGTACAAATAGCAAAATAACGTACGCCTGGAATTCGGCTTTAGCACGATCTAGGTGTTCCTTGTTCATCGCAAGCTCGGCAAGGCGAGTCTCAAGAGATTTTCTTGTAATTTCTAGGGCGCTTTCCTTCTCCTATAAAATGTATAGTATCTGTGGAAAGAGTAAGTCAGCAATTCAACCTACCGACAACTGCAGCTCAATTTTATGGCGAAGAACTCGATCCTTTTCTGCAAACTGCTCTTCCAATCGCTCTCTCTGCCGCTCCAGCTGAAGCACTCTCATCAACCAAAGGAACACGAATAAGGTTTATTGATTAGAGTACTGCCTGGTAGAATGCTGTTGCAAAACAAAAGAGAAAGCTAGAAACAAAAAAGGGAATGAAAATTGACTCGGTTTCGTTGCTAAAAGTTGAAAATGAGAAATGCGGGTTCAAGTACCGTCTGGGCGAAGTGTTTTGCCCATAATTTAGCACCAATATGGAAACAGAAATTATTACAATTGTATAAAAGCAAAGACTGCATACTTCTCGACGCCTCATTTCCATTTGCTCAGCGTACTCAGCGCGAATGTCTGCCAACTTGCGATCCGTGTCTACTCGATCTTTCTCTCTTTGCTGCAAGAGTCGTTTTTCATAACGACGCTCTACACGAGTGCAGAGCCTCTCAGCTACCAAACGCAACTGAAGTTGAGCATCACTTGTTATGCGACTCTGTAGAGAAAGAGAAAGTTAATTAAGACAGTAAAACTCAGCCACTAAAGCATTCCAAGAGCTCCAAAGTAAAAATTGAAAGAATCGGTTGAATGAACAAATCACCTTATCGATACTGGTAGGGAATTTTGTGTATTCAACATTGACCAATTGGCTCCCACTGTCATTCAGCGCACGATAAACCGCTCTGGTGAGGATACTCTCGATGTCCCAGGTAGGAATTTGCTGAAATGTGATATTACCTCAATATTAACAGAACTACAACCATCATGAAATCAATACAAATAGGTACCTTTGCTTCAGCAGCTATTGATCTGAACACTTGCTCTGCCATCACGGATCACCCCATGTCTAATGAAATCCTTAGCAACTTTGATAAAAAGTTCGACATGAACAACAACAAAATCTAAATCGGGATTCAAGATGACTTCACACCAACGATAACTGTTCGAATGCAAATTGGAACTATTTATCAAGGTACCACAGAAAAAAATCATATCATGGCATAAAATACTAAAGAATCTATAAAAACTACAAATCTATGATGCTACCCTTCAAAAGTTATCTACCACGGTCGCTGTGTGACTCCAACGTTTAAGTAAGAAGTTCGTTTGTCGAATGTTGGACTGAAAAAATAAGATCAAGATCGTTCAGCGAAGCAAAATTAAAACGTTCGACTGCTCGATCCCTTTTCAGTATGCGCCTTGCATTTTAAACTCTCATTTAGAATCGTCGCAGCATTTGAATGCAAGCGACTTGTGCGATGACCCAATTCACGACATTTTTTTTATCGTACTACTCTAGCCTTGGCATTAACAAAGTTAATCCCAGACCTAGCCAAGGACCTAAGTTTGTCGATGCCAGCTGCTACCTAAATCCTGCAAGTAAAAATGACATTGGAGCTTTTTGAATAGAATATGCAATGAATGGCTTGCCGCAACCACTACACAGTTAATTTAGGAAGCCGCTACGACATTATATTGTGAGCGTGGCCTCATCATAAAAAATGATTGATCGCCGCTATCCTACAAAGTGAAATTGAAAGACGCAAAAGCAGCGATAGAACATACGTGTGATATCCGTGCTTGGCCGGGTCCACAAGAGCTTGCTTAATCAATCCAGGATATTTCTCATTTATCTCTTTCTCATTTGTGATTATTTCCTTCAGAGGCGATGTCTCAATACCACGGAGATGTTGCCAGTCCTTGAAAAGCATATTTGCAATAACTATTGAGTAGCAATGAAACCAAAAAACACGGACAAGTTACAGCACACTCACCTTGACTTCATATTTCCAATAATAATACCCCGTTTCTAGAACAAGAAAGGCCATGAAGAGCTTTGGTACGGTGACTCGAATGACAGTCCCATAATAAACGCCAAACGTTGGCTAAAAGAAAAAATAATACATTTGTCACTTGAGAGCCGAAAGAAGATGATGGGCACCTTGAGGAAGTGAAGATAAAGCTTGTCCCAAGGCCACCTATAGATTATACGCAGAGGATTCAGCTGACGATGTACTGCATCTACGACGATAGGCTCATCAGGGTGCAGATGTTGATCCTGAATCCAAGATTAGTGCAGGAAAAAAGGCAGTACTGAAACTCGAATAACAGCACAAACTTTTAGCCATTTCATTCGCCATTCCCTCTCAGCTGGACTAAGACCGGCAGCTCTGACACGTTCGTCCGCCATGTGCAGTTCCAAGGACATCGGGTCATTAAATCTTGAACGTATCAGTCAAACTCAGCTGTAACCTACAGGCACAAAGAAAAGTAACACTTAACACACCTATGGACTGGTTTGTCAGAGACGGATTTCAGGGCAGGAGGTGGTATTCCTGACCGAGTATATGGGGAATTACCCTCCCTAGGTGGTTTCACATACTGGTTACCCATAGCGAGGCCTGGAAGACTTGTTTTTAAATTAGAAAAAGGTCAAATGCAGGAAAGAGAAAGCTTAAAAGCATGCATTCAGTAAGACGATGTTGCCAGCAGAAAAAAATAATAAAAAAAAAACAGGATGCTACGCATAACACATTTACTTGATTAACAATATAAATTTGAATAGATTGATCCATTTAGAAAACGAGCATTGCTTTATTTCAAAGCAAA